TTCTACTTCGTCCCCTGGTGGGGACTGCTGGGTATGGCCCTGACGTACCTGTTCCTACCCGACACCACCGGCCTCGACCTCAAGGAGCAGGAGCGCCGCTGGATCTACATCCGGGAGGGCCGCGAGCACGAGTACCACGGCGTGGCCGTGCACCCGAAGCATCTGTCGGTGTGGGAGCGCTTCCGGGGCGCCAGCAAGTATTACAACCCGGAGCTGGACTACCAGCAGCGCATCCGCGAGTACCGCGCCGAGTGGGAGACCAGGATGGCGCGCCTGAGCGAGGAGACCAAGCGGGAGGATGATGCGGATGCCTTCATTGAGGACGAGTTACTGGGCGGCTCCGTGCACGACTACTTCTACCGCACGAGCTCGTTGAGCACGGCGCACAGCGTTGAGAAGGTTGACGCAGCGGAGGCGAAGTAACTTGTGTTTGGGTTCGATGCGAGCCGCGGGATCGAACTCGGTTGAGACGCAAATCAGCGAGATCAAAGATTATACCCCCCTCCCTCCTGGTTTGTTGAAGCAAGGAGGAATCTTACCTGTGTTATAATAATGTCTTTTATGGTTTTTGACATCCTATTTGGGTTAGTTGATTTTGGGACGAAAACTGGGGCTGTTTACGTATATTAGTTTAATGCAGAAACTACATCACTATACTTGTCTTTCTTCAAGGGATGTGTCAAAGCACTGCTTGTTCTGACCCACCGGACCTGTCTGATTCTGCCAGTGGGAATAACCAGATCACAAAACAGCCTCGCAGACATCCCGCGCAGGGAAATGGAGGCCTGATGCCCCACGTAAACATCCGGTACATCTTTATTGGGAAGTAGTTATGCATTTCCAACGCAGTCATCGATTTGTTCTATCGATACACTGTTTGGATATCATGCCCTTACGGGGCCAGCGCTTCGCAACTCCATGAGGACCTGACGAAGGGTGACGACTGCTGGTTGGCTTCAACTAAGCAGCTTGGCCGGGCTCTTCTTCTGAGGGGGGAGTCAGCGGGTTCTCCCACCCACCTTTCCGAAACACGCGCGTTTTCCTACCGAACTCCTATACAAAGCATGTATACCCGCGGCTTTGCCCGATCAACCCAACTGGTTATCTTTTTCTATTGGGATAGATATTTAGACTCAGACTCGAGAAGAATAGCTACGCTTTGATGCACTGTATAGAATTCGATATAACCTCAGGTATGAGACGTTGACAAGGTATTCGAAGAGGGCCTCGCCTCCCCGCTCGCTTGGCAAGGTGCCTCGGGAGGGGGGGGGTGGGGGGGCAGGGAAGGACCCACGGAGGTTTCAATGACTGCCTGGCGTGCTCGGGGGAATGCTTGTTTTGCTTGGCTTACTTGCTCACTCGGTTGAAAGGGTGTAACCAAGTATATCAACTACAGGGGCCAGAACGAGCAGGCTAGCTGAAAACTCCCCAAGGACTCATGTAAGCATCGTCTTGGGATGTGGGGGAAGAAGCTTAAGGAGGCCGGATCCGGAAAGGTTCCATGGTAGCTGAGCTTAGGGGGGTGTCACGGGCGTGTAGAGGAACTTCCGTTGTTTCTCTTGCGTGGGCCACTCGCTTGCTGGTATCGCCCTTGACCTCACATGGCCGGGTTATAGTACCGACTCTTTACTACAGTTGACCGTCGGCGGGTAGGGCTGGCGAAAGACACCCGGCGACTTGCTGAGACCTTTTCAAGCAGTGATAGTAATAGTTAATACCCTATCTTTTCTCATTCTCTATGATTTGTCTACAAATATCAAACACGACCTTGATTACACCTAGCGTAGCAGAAAACACTTCAGACTGTAGAAGGGGGCTAAATGGGAAAGAGGGGTACGGGTACCTTTCAAGAACAACTCTCTTGCTAAGGTATCAAGTTTCCACCTGCCCTTTTAGCCCCAAGTCCCTCTGCTCTCGCCGTCAGAAATGGTATATCAACAATCAGATCCCCGGCAATCATGTTTCACTGCGACACCGCGAACTCCGCTCGTAATTCTATTCGCTGTTCGCGTGACACAAGGCTCAGAGATTCCGAACTGAGATCTTGTGGTTGTTGCTGCTGATTGGGCTAGTTCACTCGGATCGACGGCCGGATCCTGATGCTGCTGCTGTGACAGGCCGCAGGCCGAATCCCGGACAACCAAACAATTAAGTTCCAGTCTCGCGTGGCTGCACGACCCGACCGAAAGTATAACATGGCATCATCATGTCATGCTATCTATACTCTATCAACTTTCTCAAGCGGCACGAAAAAAGGATGAGCTTGAAAGAAGGACACTACAGTCACCAGAAAAAATAAACATAAAAATATGATCTCCGATAGGGGGAATCGAACCCCCGGCTGCCGTGTGAGAGACGGCGATGTTAGCCACTACACCATATCGGATGCTGTGTGAACGTGTACCACAT